TGGAAAGGGGCTGTTGCAAAATTTACTCTGAATTAAGTTAAGAGGAGGTGGAGTTCAGTGGGCTGGAAAGCAGGTGGAGTAGAACAGTGTAGGAAAAGGTAGCTGTCCAGCAGGTAAGACATTATCAGCCATAACTTCACTCAGGGTCTTCTGGCTGGTTTTGGGGCTGACTGGTTGTTTTTCCATAATGGTCAGGGAAATGGGAAGTAAGGAATGCTTTTTTATTCAGCCAAAAAAAGCTTTGTGAATAGGGAAATCACGTGTTATGTTCCTGGCGGTGTTTATTAATGGCAAGTTAATGAAACAGAGCACTGCAGAGAATACTGGTGTACAGCTTTAAAGGGCAGGCCCAAAAAGCATGAGCCAGGAGCACTGGCTGCAGCTTTACTAAAAAGCCTTTTCTAGCAGGGAGCCATTCTAACTTGCCTTCCAGTTCCATTTCTGCACGGATTTCAATGGATGGTGAACGGCCCCACTCTGCGGGCTTGAGGATGTGAGGTCAGTGTTGCAGAGAGAGGAATTGCTGAGATTTGCCTCCCGTCCCAGCTGGGAGCAGGGCTGAAGCTGTCCCTCTCCTTTGTGCCTGTTGGCAGGAGCAGTGCAATGAGGGAGGCCGCGTGGAGCTGTACCCTCTCATGTTATGTTCTCATATTTTGGGCTGGTGTCCAGGGCAGCTCACTGGGTTACAGGGACCTCAGGCTGAACCCTTTCTAACGCACCAAACACTCTGGAAGCTGCCAAATTCTCAAAGACAGAGTTTAGACCGCTAATACCAAAATGAAGTTTGCAAAACCAACACAGACACTTTTGGGGAGCCAGACAGGGTCAACCAATTTCAGACGCCCAAGCTAGCAATCAGCAGAGGCCACACCACCACAAGAAACTAGATGAGAATGGAAAGGCAGGAACAGAGAGACAGAAGGAAAAAACCCCACATAATCATTTGTTTTTCATCCAGTTGGCTTTTATCAGCCAACAGAATGGCTGAAGATATACTTTTCAGTGCTGCAGCCGTAGGGTTGTGATCCTCTCAATTAGAAAAGATGTGGTTCCGTTAAATAAAACTAATGGCAGCACTCATCGTCTAGGGAAATGAACAGTTAATTGTCAGCTAATAATGTTCTGGGGAGATGCTAAGAAATAGTGTGCTGAGAATTCAGTCATCCCTTTTGGCTTTGTTGCTACTCTTCGTTCCGTAGTTCCCAATTCTGCAGTAGTCACTGTCGTTGCTTATACCGTCCGTTTTCAGAAAATAACAATTCAGTGTTCGAAGTTTTGATTCAAATACAGGTTAAATAGGGCTTTGGCAGCTTAGACAAAATCTGAGGTCCTGGGAAAACATCTCTGCCACTTGTAGGTCCCTGTAAGGGAGCGTGAGTTATTGGGGTAGATCTCTGTTCACCACCACCAGAACAAAATACAACACTTGTTTAGAGGTTTTATCTTAAGGACGGGATGTACAAACCTGTTTTGATAAGGATCCTGCTGTCTTTTGTAATGTCAACTGACATCAGTCACAGCCTGAATTTACCAAAGAAGGGGCATTCTTAGTGTTTTGGCAGGGAAAGGAGGTCATTGAAGGGCATACCCTTTTTCATCCTGTTTGGAGAAATTCACAGACGGTTGTAAAGGTTTCAAGTTGAGTTTCACTGCTGATGACTGAAACAACAGTATCAACTGTATCACCGTCGTACATAGAGACTGCATGGCAGTCCAGCCATCCAGCAGCTCTGAACTCAAAGGTTCCTACGGAGGGGTAGATGCACTAAGAGGAATGGGCACTACAAGAGTAAATGCAGAAGAGCTGCTAAAAGAGAAGGTGATTTGTATGATAGACTGCGGTTACATGGTACTTTCTTACTTCTTTTTGTCTTCCTAAAAGAGCAGGTATAATGACTGTAGTTAAACAAAGTCCTGTTCGCAGCACAAGCTAGAAAAATCTGCAAGTCGTGAGCTGTGCTTTGTCTCAAAGACAGTTGACTTTGTCCACGGAACAAGTACCTTGTGTGTCATCTGCTAAGTAGGAGTTTGGGGTTCTTCCTTACTCTTCGTGTAAGGGCCTTGATGCTTGCTGCAAAGGCAGGGGGTCTTCGGGTAGACTGCGCTCAGTTTGTTGATGGACTGCTTTCGAGGTCCATGTGAACCCCTTGTGTCCAGTCTCAGAAACGTCCCAGAAGTTCACTGGAAACACTGTGAACCCAATGGGACAGGTTGCCTGGAGAAGCTGTGGATGCCCCATCCCTGGAAGTGTTCAAGGCCAGGCTGGATGAGGCTTTGAGCAACCTGGTCTAGTGGAAGGTGTCACTGCCCGTGGCAGGGGGGTTGGAACTAGATGGGCTTTAAGGTCCCTTCCAACCCAAACCATTCTGTGATTCTGTGATAAGTTAGAAGACCCCTCCTAGTCTGTGCATACAGTGGGTAGATCAAGTCCCCAGTGCCCTCAGAGAGCAACGGGAGACAGCAACCAGAGGGTCCTCCATCCTTCAGCTCATAGAGTAATAAGTGATGTTGCTGAGGCAGGCGGCATTGAGTCAACCTGAAATCTGCCGCTGGCACCCAGGGAAAGCCTGGAAGTACATCCAGGTATAGGATTTCCTCTGTGCCACATTTATCTGCCCTGTGCATGGAGCTGGTGATGCATACTGCTTCTCAACAGCCACGTGCACAAGGGCTCATCTCCCTTGCATGTGACTTGATCCCATTTCTCCCTCTTCTCTCAAGCATTTAAGGTAGAAGATGTTGCCTATGGCCTTAGGAAGATTTGGGTATAGCCTGAGCGGGGTGTCCCTCTACGCCTTGCCTTCACTCTACTACCAAGCTGTTGGTTCAGCCATTGCATATATAAGACTTGTCAAGTTTTAACTAATTACTTCATCATGCTGTGTATGTGCATGGTTTTGTCTCTGTCATGGCACATAGGGTATGCCTCATGCAGAATCTCATGACTGACAATGGCCTGGATAAGGTGTTTCAGAGAAAGTTATCAGGCATCATCACTGGCCAATTCCAGGCGCTTTTGCCTCCTTGAGGAAGTGTTTGTAACCTTGTCACTGGTAGCTGGTTGTGCTCTTTGGAAGGTGACCTGCTCTTCACTCTGCGTTCTTTTTTTAGCAGGAGAACTTCCCATTGTCTTTGTATAGGGATTTTTTGCTTTTGTTATTTGAGTTCAGCAGAACAGCAGGGTCCAGGGTCCCATGAATTGGAGTCCCTTTGTTTTAAGCTGATTTGTGTATGAATAGAGGAAGAGACTCACTGTTCTAGAGATGCTCTTGCTTTCAAATGGGGGAAAATGTCAGATCCAAGAACCAGTCTAAATCAGCTGAATGGATGGGATCTGCTAGAATATCTCATCTTTCAGCATGCCAGGGATAACATCCACTTAGGCTGTTATTACAATTTTTACTGTTAGTGTTTCTATTTTCCTTTTGCAATAGAACTCCATTCTGTGATGAAATTTGGCTCTGACTCAAAACCAGGAGGGTTCTCCATGAAAATATTTAACATAGTTGATTATAAAAATCCCAAAGTGAATTCATAGCTTGCTTGATTGTTAGCTGATTTAGAGGAGATGAGTTAAAATATTTGTGGCTTAAATATTTCTGACTTAAATACTTAGTAAATGCTGTAATCTAGACATCCAGAGAATGCATTTAGAGCTGCTTAGGTACCATACAAAGATTACTTATTAGATCTGTATGTGGAATAATTTCTTTGGGTCAGGTGAGGATTGAAGTACCCTGGCAAATGTTTTTTTATCAAGGTTGGTTTTCCATTCCACAGCACCTAACAGCGTGTGTACCTGTAGAGAAGCTCTGCCACAGTGCAGTGCCGTGGAGGTACTTAGCCGAGGAGCTGAGAGCAGTGCTGTGTCTTACTACCAGGTTATCGATGGGCATTTCCTTCTTTGATCAGCCTGTTGAAAATTACTTGAAAAAACATTTTTAAAGAGTAGTTATTAATGATATACTGTCAAAAAGGAAAGATATATCAAATGAGCTTCTCCAGGGATCTATCTTTGGCCTAGCATTATTCAAAAATTCTATTAACCTCTTTCATGATAGGAATAAGGAATACAACTCTAAAAATAGAAGATGGCACCAGTCTAGAACAAACCTAGACCAACCAGCTTGGAAAGAGTTGGTGTAAAGCATAAAATTATTTTGCAAAGTCAAGGAAATCATTCTTAATTAGTATGGAAAAATAATAGAAAAGCCTTCCCCATTGTTATTACTTTAACTGTCTAATGTTCTAATTTGGAACAACAAATTCCTGTAGCCATTGCTGCCTGTAACAGGCCAGCCACACAAAGGTGGGGCTCTGAACTGACCTGGAAGTTCATTATCAGTAACCATGCAGAAAGTCAAATACGGAATTGAGGGACTGTGTTCAGTGTAAGACACCACCTTCGGAAAAGTAGCGTGGACAGAATTGCAAAGATCATTGCAAAGAGCAGATGAGTGCTAAGGCTGGTGCTTCTAAAGCTGACTTTTGGCAGAAAGAAGCAGCAAGGTCTGCCTAGTCTAGAAGAAGGTAGACAAGTAGGGGGAAATTACAGTCTTCAAGCATGCAGAAAGTGGTGGGAAGAATGGTGGTAACCAGTTTTTCTTCATGTCGGTTGGAGATGATACAAGAGAGTAATGCTCTAGCTTAAAGTTAGATATTGGGAAGTGGCCTGCCAATATAAATAGTGGTTACCTGTGTGGTAATAAAATTTTTGTCACTGATGACTGCGTAGTGCAAAAAAATGGTGTGATTTTGTACGGTTAATCCTACCACCTTTGAGTAAATAGGTGTAGAACTTTTTTTTTAATATTCTGTTCAAACCAAACAGGTCTGTGCTTTCTAGGATGATTTACCCTTTAAAACTATGGGGTGACACAAGAAAAGGAAACAAATCCCGTGGCTTTCATGATGAAGTTGTGTGATGTGCGATAGCAATTTGGTATTCGAGTCATCTTCAGCCACGTCCGTGACTATGTCTGTTTGTCCTTCCTCAACAGTCACCAAACGTCCACAACTACCCAGATATGGAAGCTGTACCCTTGTTACTAAACAACATGAAGGCAGACCCTACGGAGGATTCATTATCTACAGACCATTTCCAAACACAGACTGAACCAGTGGACTTGTCAATAAACAAAGCCAGGTCGTCCCCTACAGCAGCTTCATCTTCACCAGTTTCCATGACAGCATCAGCCTCCTCCCCTTCTTCTACTTCTACTTCTTCTTCTTCTAGTCGTCCAGCTTCATCACCCACAGTAATAACGTCGGTATCCTCAGCGGCATCTGTACCGTCAGTATTAACTCCGGGTCCTCTTGTGGCCTCTGCGTCTGGTGTTGGAGGCCAGCAGTTTTTGCACATTATCCATCCAGTACCACCTTCAAGCCCCATGAACTTGCAGTCCAACAAAATGAGTCACGTGCACCGCATCCCCGTGGTGGTACAATCAGTACCTGTTGTCTATACAGCTGTGAGATCACCCGGGAATATGAACAACACTATAGTAGTACCACTGTTGGAGGATGGGAGAAGCCACGTCAAAGGTAAGGTGGAACCAGTTTTGCGCATCTGTGGCATCTCTAAAACTGCTCTTGTATGAGGCAAATGCAACAGCATTATAAAGCTGTTAGTTTCCCTGCTTACTGTGTTGGTTGCTGAAGAGACATAAAAGTTACGCTATCGGGAAAAACCTTTTAAAGCCTTATTCCAGTTGCTTTTTAAAATAAATAAATATTTTTATAGAGATTGAGGTCAGCAGTGGTGGTAGATGCTTGGACAACTAGTGTCAAGTTTTGTCCTGAGGGGAAGAAATCCTCCCCAGAACCTGAAGAAATAGGACAATGGAATAGAAATAATACGTAAACCAACACAGGTGAACATGGAAAACTCGCCAGATGATACAGATTTGGCACCAGAGGGGATGTCAGAAAGACTGTTTCCACGCAAAGGGAAAGCAAGTCATCGAGCTGTAAGCAGGGTTTTGGACCAAAGAGCAGCAGATGCAGAGAGGTGGGTTTTACTAAGCTCGAGGACTGGCAGTGTGATATTTTGAATTAGGTTTCTTCTTCCAGATTAAACAGCAGGAGGGAATGAAACCACACGGAGTGTAGATGTTGGGAATGAGTTTTGCAGAGACAGGACCAGAGAGGCACATGGAGGTGTGAAGGGAGGAAGAAAGCACATGCCAGAAGGACAGATACACTCTTGGAGAGGTGTCCAAAGAACACAGAATGGGGAGCTGGAGAGCAAGAAAAAATGAGAACATAACAGTTACTGAGGGAGCAGAAAGTTGTTAAGAGATGGTGACATGATGGGTGGAGGGAGAAAACAGATGTTTCCAGATACTTGGAAAAGCATAGCTTTATGAGGAAGGCGTTAGTGATAGAGATGGGAACATGGGGGAAGGAAGGAGACTCATTTCAAGGTTCATCGCCTATGAGTGAATAAAATCCAGCTATTTGTCCCCTGAAATGAGGTATTGCTTGAGACGGAAAGGGGAGGGTACTGACAGATAACCTTACTTCAGGGCTTATGAGACTACAGGGCACTTAGTAATACATCCCATAACATCTCTTGTGTACCTCATTGCATAATGAAGGGGTCTCTACAGCTAAAAGACCTTTTTCTTCAATTCTCAAGTCCAGTTTTGATATACCAGGGACTGCACATTATTGTATATGACTACAGCGATTGGTCTTTCTGATGTTTAGTAGTATCCTGTTGTCCATTAATCTTTGGTTCTCCTCCTGTTCCCTCAGTAACCGGAGTGTGGGCTGTGCCCTTTCAACAGGCTTGGACGATAGGAAATGAGCTCACAGCTGGTCTGGGTTTTGCTTTAAAGCCTCAAAATGATGGTTTGAGAAGTTCTGTTGCACTTCATACAATGATGTAATTTTAGGACCTCGTGCCATTATGTCAAGCAATGATGAATGAAAGCAGAATGTTTCACCATGTTGTCTCAGAAAAAGAAAAAAAAAAAAGAAAAGGGAAAAAGCAAAGTTTTAGTCTCTGTTTTTGTTTTGGAGCTTTGAGCTGCACATGACCTTGAGCTCATCCAGAATTCTTCCCGTTTGTTTTCTTTCCTAAGGTGCTAGTTGGCTCTGGTTACAGTCTCCTCTATGGGAAGCACCTCCTGATCTTGTAAAACTGGAACTCTGCTACCCCGTTTTCATCAACAAAATTCCGGAATTTAATGTGCCACAGGGATTTCAGCCCACGAGCTCCAGGCCTCCTGAGCTACCCTGACAATATTGCCTTTGTGCTATTATTGGCAGAGATCATTAACCAGCCCTGCAGCACCTATTAATGTACAGCTAAAGAAAAAGAAGGGATTAAGCATTCTTGCATTTTTTTTTTTCCTCATCAGCGGTACCAGTTTTGCTATCACTTAATTACTTTGATATAAGTGTTCAGATTAATTTGAATAGATACAATAGAAGAATAATGGGCAATAATCCATCCGAGGTAGCCATCTTCTGTCAACTTTTTTTAGCACAAATTAACTGATTAAGTGAATGTCATATGTGCACAGACTAAGTTCCTTTCAGTGGTCAGCCCTCATGCTGAAAACAAGAAATAAATGCACACAGATGCTAACAGGGCATTGCTGTCAAATTGAATTGGTTGCCAGTCCTCTACCGGGTGAAGGAGAAATGGTTCAGAATCATGTAGAGTCACAACTTTCAACTTATACATGAACACTGATAATTTTAAGAAACAAAAATACACAAGCTGAAACTAAGTCCCATCCCTGGAAAGTGTTCAAGGCCAGGCTGGATGAGGCTTTGAGCAACCCGGTCTAGTGGAAGGTGTCCCTGCCCATGGCAGGGGGATGGAACTAGATGATCTTTAAGATCCCTTCCAACCCAAACCATTCTATGGTTCTATGAAAGTCGACCCACAGATAGCATCGGTAGCATTTGTCGCATAACCTCTGTGTTGTTGCTGCTTTGGTGCTAGATCAGAGACCATGTTGATGATCCAGGAGTGTACTTGGGAAGCATTTAAGGTTGTATTTCACACTGGCCTGTGTCTAAGTCCTTTTCACTTGAATGAGACTTAAGCATTTTCCTGAACAGAGATACTTTCAATGCTAAAATTAATGAAAATGACATGCTTAAGGTCAGACCTCTCCCATTTCTCTAGATGCAGGTACTTAGGGGAAAATTGAAAGGAACAGGATATATAGAGAGAGGTTTTTCTTTGTTATTCCCACTTGTATTTTCCTCATGCTGAATTTTGCTCTTCCTTCCAGGTTTGACTAGAACCATTTCATTTTAAATTTTATTGCAAAACCTTCTCAGGCAATCACCATCTCTCTAATCCTGTCTCCAGGTGTTTCCCTTGGTGGCTTTCTGCTTCCCCTGATGCTTCCCAGTCCACCTTCCTCTCTCTCAGACAAAACTATCCTCCCAGCGGCAGCTTTTCTAGGTAGTTCAAGCAAATACTTCTTTCTGTTTGAATTCTGTCTTCCCTCCAGCACAAGAAATCACAACCTCCTCTTCTGTTTCCCTTTCTTTTTCTGTTTTTCTATTTCTTCTCGTCCCTCCCATCTTGCTGACTGTTCTTCGAGTGTCAGTTTCAACAGCTGTGTTTCATCTCTCCCTCCTTATCTGTTAATATTTCTAACCCTTACTGTCATCTCCTCTGCTGCTGCACATCCTTCTCCCTGGATTCGCTCATCCTGGTGTTCTCCGTTGCACCTTCCTTCAGGAGAGTCTCAGATCTCCTCTTCTGCCTCCCAGAGTGCTGCTCATTTCTGCTCTCTGTCCAGCCTTCTCTCTCCTATTTTTTATTTCCAAGGTTCTCTATTAAATCAAACTCTTCCGGCAGCATTGAAAGCCCAGATGTGTTTGCAGATAATTAGCTCTTGTATATATGAGCTGCCAGCAGCCTCCTGTCAGGTCCTGCACCACGTGCTACACCCCAAGGTGGGAAAAAGGAGTTGGGGTTATCATACTACAGAAGCACCCTTCTGCCAGATGGATGCTTTTTGCTGGATAAAAACTTCGCAGTTCACCTACTGTAAATCAAAATCAGGATGGAAACGTTTCTAGGAATTTATTAACTCATGGAATTCAACAAGGCTAAGTGCAAGGTCC